TCCATGAATCTTCCTTTTGCCCCCATTTTGTCATTTATTTATGGTAATTATTCTTCTTAAAACCAAGTTCTCAGATATAGTTCATACATTACAACAAAAGTGCATTTGCTGCCAAAAGAAAAAAAGATAATGCAAAAAACCACTGTTCCATTAGTGAAGCTTCACACAGGTGTGATAATGAGTCCATTTGAAGTAGAGCCATTTTATTGAATGTTTCCCAGTATCAATGGTCTTAGACCTCTTTCACACAGGTGAATAAAATCCCATATTTTCTACTTTCACATACTTTCTAGTAAAAGCACAAGACCCTGGATATAAAACTCTCAATATCTCCTAGCCATGTAGACTTCCATGCGTGGTAAGGTAGGTTCCTTCCACACAACCCTATATCCCAGAATATTAGGCAGAAAATCTTACAATATCTGCTTTGAACTGGGTTGTTTGAGTCCACACTCAGATAATGTGGGATTTTTTGCCTTGATATTCTGGGATGTGTGGAAGGGCCCGTAGAAGGCAGTAGGAAAAGAGGAAGACCACATTCCAGATGGATGGACTCAATGAAGCTGCTCTGAATCTCAAGACCTTAGCAGGGCTACCGATGTGAAACTTGTAGATCTCTCATTTGTAGAGTTGCTGTTGTTAATTAACCAGATGCATTTAAATTGTTGAGTTAACGCAGTTTGACATGACTTTAACTGTCATGGATGTAGTTTGATGAGACATCAGCCCTCTTTGGCAGATAAGGCTAAAACCTTGTAAATACAAAACTCCCATTATTCCATAGCATTGAGCCAGGGCAGTTAAAGTGGTACCCTAAGAAAGCCCAGTGTCACTTTACTGAATTCTGCATGGTTCTATTAGATGTGTCACTTTAATCAAAGCTCTTCAGAATGGCTCACTTCAGATTACCATTCACTTTGTTCTTAAAGAATCAGCCATGTTATCTATCAGCTGAGCTTCTGGTTTGAGAACTGCAGCTTTTCTTATAGAAATCTTTCTTCTGATATTGTCGCCTGGGGAAATATGTTTGTTTACTGTATCTCACATATTGGTCTTCAGAATACTTCTTTGTCAATGATTTCTCAACATGTGTGAACCGTTCTAATGGGAAAAGCTTTGCAGGAAACTTCAAAAAAATGCTGCAACTCTTGTAAAACCTTAAAAGGAAATTCAATCTGAAAAGTAAATGACATGCATGAAGATAATTCATTTTAAGGAGTTTATTTTCATTTTAAGGCATTTATTTTCAAAATGTTCCATTAGATTTTGATTCATTAGATTTGTTGCTGACTCTAATAAGATAAAGATGGTATTGTTATGTGCAATTAAAACATTAAGGAAATGTGAAAAGGGCTGATTACCTGCTGGCATGGCATTGCTTGCCTTTGTATTGTTTTTTCTTATTATACACTCACCTAAAAGCTGTAAATCTTTCAAAGATGGCATGGAGTTGCATTTGCTTTGAGCTCTTGCACACACTGTGAATACTAAAGCTTTCTAGAATCTGAATTATGTAGGTTTTTTTTTCTCTTACCTACAGCTGTGTTCCTGATAGTCATGATACTAATGAGACATTAATGAGACCCACATGTTTATCCAATGTGTTTTGTTTTCTTTTCACTTGAATAACTGAAGTTGGGCTTCTTAAAGCACAATTGTGTGCATGTCTACCTAGAAATAAGTCCCATTGGATTCAGCAGGAGTTACAATGCGTAATTAATTTAAGTCGTCCTATTCCAAGAATAATCCTCACAAATGATTGGAATTTACTTTTGAGTTAAAATGCTTAGGTTTGTACTGTTTAGAGTTCAAATTCTAAACCTACACTTCTAAGTATTGAAAAATCACACAGTCATAGAGTTCAATGTATTGTCGAAGGCTTTCATGGCTGGAATCACTAGGTTCTTGTGGGTTTTTCGGGCTATATGGCCATGTTCTAGAGGCATTTTCTCCTGACGTTTCGCCTGCATCTATGGCAAGCATCCTCAGAGGTAGTGAGGTCTGTTGGAAGTAGGAAAAATGGGTTTATATATCTGTGGAATGGCGGGGGTGGGGCAAGGAGCTCTTCCCTGCTGCAGTTAGGTGTGAATGTTTAGCTGATCACCTTCATTAGCATTTGAAGGCCTGCCTGAGCCTGGGAAAATCTGTTGCTGGGAGGTGTTAATCTGTGCCTGGTTTTTTCCTCTCTGTTGTTTAGCTGTTATAATTTTAGAGTTTTTTAATACTGGTAGCCAGATTTTGTTCATTTTCATGGTCTCTTCCTTTCTGTTGAAATTGTCCACATGCTTGTGGATTTCAATGGCTTCTCTGTGTAGTCTGACATGGTGGTTGTTGGTGTGGTCCAGCATTTCTGTGTTCTCAAATAATATGCTGTGTCCAGGCTGGTTCATCAGGTGCTCTGCTATGGCTGACTTCTCTGGTTGAAGTAGTCTGCAGTGCCTTTCATGTTCCTTGATGCGGGTCTGGGCAATGCTGCGTTTGGTGGTCCCTATGTAGACTTGTCCACAATTGCATGGTATCCAGTAGCCTCCTGCGAGGTGAGAGGATCCATCTTGTCCTTTACTGAATGAAGCATTTGTTGCATTTTCTCTGTGGGTCTGTAGATAGTTTGTAGGTTGTGTTTCCTCATCAGCTTCCCTATGCGTCAGTGGTTCCCTTGATGTATGGCAAGAACACTTTTCCTCTGGGTGGACCTTCATCTTGACTCCCGTGGCGATTTTCCCAGACTCAGGCAGGCCTTCAAATGCTAATGAAGGTGATCAGCTAAACATTCACACCTAACTGCAGCAGGGAAGAGCTCCTTGCCCCACCCCAGCCATTCCACAGATATATAAACCCATTTTTCCTACTTCCAACAGACCTTCTCAACCTCTGAGGATGCTTGCCATAGATGCAGGCGAAACGTCAGGAGAAATGCCTCTAGAACATGGCTCTATAGCCCGAAAAAACCCACAAGAACCTAGTCATAGAGTTGTTAAAGCAAAAAATGGAGAAGGCTCCTACATCTTTAATGAATGTGAAGAAGAAATGTATGCAAGTTTTGCTTGCCTCCCAAGCGGCAAATGTATTATCGAAGGCTTTCATGGCCGGAATCACTGGATTGTTGTAGGTTTTTCGGGCTGTATGGCCACGTTCTAGAAGCATTCTCTCCTGATGTTTCTTCATCTATGGCAGGCATCTATGCTTGCCATAGATGCAGGTGAAACATCAGGAGAGAATGCTTCTAGAACACAGCCATACAACCTGAAAAATTTATAACAACCCAAGCAACAAATGTCTTCTTCTATACAACTAATAAAGATATAGTAGCCTTCCTCAGTTTTTACTTTGGCAACTCTACTTTTGTGCTATGAAGGAAGGAGGAGAGCTGTAGATTTCTTTCCACCTTCCCTGGAGTTAGTAAATGAACTTTATGAACCTAAGCATGGATACAGTTTTACCACCCTGTTTCCCAGTTGTGGACTGAGTAAAAATGGGGGTGGCATCTTGGAATTGTTTCCTCTTTGATTCTGATCTTAAGCCCCTTCTGCACTGCCATATTTATTTATTCATTTATTTAAAATTTTTATATCCGATCTTCTCTACCTCTGTAGAGGGACTCAGTCCAGCTGAGTCCCTCTATATAAAATCCAGATTATCTGCTTTGAGCTCAATTATCTGGCAGTTTATACTCATATAATCCAGTTCAAAGCAGATAATGTGGATTATCTGCTTTTATCAGTAGTTCTTAACCTGTGGGCCACGGATCACCAGTGGGCTCCGAGGACAAAAATCTGGTCCACGAGCCTCCTTCCTCTTTATGTGTTTATTTTATTTATTTTATTTCCACTCCTTTCATGCTGCCTGCCTCTCCTTCCCTGTCACTGACCATGGCAAATTTCTGTATCAGAATTAGAGTTGATGTGGTCTATCCAATGAAATTTTCTGAATCAGCACCCCAAACCGAATCTAAAGTTGACCAAAAACTGATTCATAACCCTTCTGGTACTAATGTTGGAGAGTAGTCCCTCGTCAAAGTAGTCTCTGATCAAGTGGTCCAAGGTCAAGTGGTTCCTGGTAAAAAAAAAAGGTTGGGAACCACTGGCTTTGATAATCTAGATTATAAGGCAGTGTAGAGGAGTCATAAGATATATGTGGGGGGGGGGGCATGAAAGAAGCTGACTCTGAGCCTAGGGAGCTCCTTTCAGCCCAACTACACTGCCAGTCTTGATTTGCCACAATGCATAGTCAGCCCTCCAACAGAGAAACTTGCATGTGTGAACAAAAGAGTTTGGGGCTGGGTGCTCATAGAAGCAGCTCAACAATCCTTCATAAGAAAGGATTTACTGTGATATCCACCACAATGCTATAGCACCCCTACTCTGCTTAACAGTGCAGCATAATCTGTTTTTTTTTCCAAACCAGGAGTGTAGCTTGCTTCCAGCCTCAAAACTCTGTTTATGAATATTTATTAACTGTATATGAAAATGTCAAAATAGCATGCAACAATAATCAAGCACATATTATAAACAATATTCAAAATCAAGTTGAAATACTGAAATTATCGATCATTTATAAAACCCATAAAATAGATATGATAATGAAAGGCACCGCAGACTAACTCAACCAGAGAAATCAGCCATAGCAGAGCACTTGATGAACCAGCCTGGACACAGCATATTATTTGAGAACACAGAAATACTGGAGCACTCTAACAACCACCATGTCAGACCACACAGAAAAGCCATTGAAATTATTGAACAGGCAGCTAATATTTCATGGAACACAGTCACTACCCTCCTGCTATATAATTACACAGACCTCCCTCATTTTGGTTCCAGTAAAAATTGGTAGGACCTTCTCTCAGAAACACTGATTTTCTATGAGCAGCATTGAGACAGATGAGGGAAGGCTTATTAAGATACCAAAATGGGTTAATGACTTGTCAGAATTGATATAAACATTTGCATGCATGTATATTGCTACTGCTCACACTAATTTCTGCTTTCTGTTCCCTGCAGACTGAAGAAGTCCTGAAGATTGATGGAGGGCCATGCTATTCAAACAGCAGGTGTTGCTGAAACAGAAGCTCCTTGTTTTAGGCAGCCTTGCTATTGGAAGTCTCCTATATCTAGTTGCCAGAGTTGGGAGCTTGGATAGGTAAGTCATTCTATGGGCACAGATGGGTGATATCTGTAATTATCAGTGGTTCCAGGTGAGGTCTTTTTCCATCCCCATCTCAAGGACTTCCTCTTAAGCCTTTGAATATTGGAAAGTGCTGAAATATTGATTTTCATTGTTCTTTCCATTCCATTTAGGAATGGAGGAGAGTGTGCATATATTGAAGGGGTTTCAGCTTGCTTAACCCAGTGAGAGTCAGCCTGTCCATTTATATTCTGCGAGCACCTGCAGTTGTTTTCAGAAGGAGTTTTAAAGTGGCATACAGTAAATATGTCAGAACGTTTGCTGGTTTTTGTCTACGTGCATCTGCAGGTTGACCTCAAGTCGCAACAAACAGTTATGATGTATTTATGCATCTTCCTTTCTGAAATTTATGAGCAGGCAATTAATGGGCTACAGTGGTAGTTAAAATTATGCATGAGCCTGCAGAGTTAGCTTGTCAAGCTTGGAATCCTACTGCACTTGAAAGATTGCTGCAGGGAGAAAGAATTTTAACTATGTTAATTAGCCAATTTTGGTGAGGTTTGTAGCATTCTTTTTCATTTTTTTAAAAAAATTAAAAAATACTTTCCAGATATGATGAATGAGGAGGCTCTTGCTGGGAATGGTTTTCTCAAATGACAATGCAGCCACATATATAAAATTGGGGTGTGCATTTTTTTTAAAAAAACAACTTTTGGCTAAGAACACAGATATGTATTCTCACAGAAATTACTGGAGCTATAACAGTTCCTGTCACTGCCAGCTCCTGTTGAGTTTGACCTCAAGGAAATGTTCCTTTCTGATTCTATACATAGCAAGCCATTGGGACACAACTACCAGCTTTTACTTCTAATTACGATCACATAACATGCTCCAGAGAAATTGAGTGAGGGAATGTATGCTGTCTTCTGAAATTAACAAGCGAGTAATTTATGTCCACAGCCATTGTTAAATGTATACATGGCACTGCAGAGACAACCACAAAACATAGCCATTTAGAAGTTGTTGGAGTGCATTTGCTAGCTGTGCTTCTTGGAGGGCCCTTCTGCATAGCTATATAACTCAGAATATCAAGGCGGAATAACCCACAATATCTGCTCTGAACTGGAATATCTGAGTCCGCACTGCCTCTGTGGAAGGGGCCTGAGTTGCAAACCCTCAACACCTGGAAAGCCCTTCCAAACAGCCCTATATCCCAGAATATCAAGGCAGAAAACCCACATTATCTGAGTATGGACTCAGGCCCCTTCCACACAGCTGAATAAAATCCCACATTATCTGCTTTGAACTGGAATATATGGCAGTGTGGACTCAGATATCCCAGTTCAAAGCAGATATTGTGGGACTTTCTGCCTTGATATTCTGGGATATTGGGCTGTGTGGAAGGGCCCAAAGTTGCCCATTCTTATTGTAACAAGATTGTAGAATCATAGAACTGGAAGGGACCATGAGAGACATCTAGTACAATCTCCTGCCATGCAATCAAACCACTCAAATAAGGCTTGAGCCATTCTTACAACATAAAATAACAAAATTGATCTCCTCCATTCATCTTAATAACATTCATCTTTTATCTTCTATTTTTTTTCACCATGGAGCTGAAAACAACATACAGAGTTCCTTGCTTTTCTTCCATCTAAGCCCCGACTTGAATTTAATTATTACACCAGACCTTCAGCTCAAGAACATTTGCCCTTAGACCACATCTTGAACTCCAGCCTGTATGGGAGAGAATAACATGCCAAAGCATTTATGTTCTTCTCATGGTCTTCTCCCAGCTTCTAGTTACCCACTCTTGGAACTGACAATTGTACATTGCTGTATTATTTGTGGAGTGGGTTACCATATCAAGACTATCCCAGGATCAAAATCTGAGCCCCAGGGTTGATGCTTTGTAATATCACAGTTGGGTGACACTGGTGATGTTAGAAGGGTGATGTCACAAGGAGAAGACTCTGGTATTTATTTATTTATTTATTTATTTAGCATATTTATTTGTTTGTTTATTAGCATGACACCTTAAGCATCAACTACAGTTGCAGGGAATGCCATTCAAAACCAAATCACCAAGTCAGACAAATTGAAAAAAAGATATGTTATATATGCTTTCCAATGCAGTACTCTTGCCTTGAAATTCCTCATCCTTGCTCAGAGAAATGGAAGGAGTGTCTATGCCCTGAGATCATACTTGAGGACAGTACTGACTTTGCTAAAACATAAAATGGAATTGTGATGAGAGAAATAATGGCAAAGCAGCCAAATTTCACTAATATTATCTTAGAGTAACAAAATGGAAGGAAGAAGCAAACCACAGACATACTTGGGGATTTGGAGCACACTGCAGCCCACTTCCTTTTTAAAAAGTTCCTGGACCTGCTATCCCCATTTATCAGAAAGTAACCACTGCAATTTATGGGGGCATTTTCCCCTATTTGGAATAACTTGTGTGGGTAGGGCACTGTCACCAGGTTGCTTCCCAGTTGACAAGAAAACAGACCCCAGTTGATCTCAGATGCTACTTCCCGATAAGTTATGATTGCAGGACTTCCACAAACTAAACTAGGGGCTACACAGGGATTGTAAATACCGAATAGTGATATGTATAACTTTGGGTCATTCATTCATAATTCCACAACAGGATTTTAGCCCTGGCTTGTTTTCTGCTTTCCAAAGGATGGGTGGATAAAGGAGTGGGGAGGGGGGCCCACTTAATGACTAATCCTATCTTGCATTCCATTCGTTTTGCGCTTTCCTCCCCCCCCCCCCCCCCCCCCCCGCCCTTTACAGCAATAATGTGCCCAGTTTCATTCAGAAAGGCTTGCATCTGATGAGAAATGAAGGCTCATGTGCTGAAGCTAGCATCATCCCACTATCTCTCGGCAAAGTTTCATATTATAAATATATGCAAAACTACCATAGCCTATTATGCGATTTCATGTATGGCATGAAAATTCCTTCTTGGCTCCTGCAGGAATTTGTCCTGTGCCCTGAGGCATGAAATTTAATTAACCTTATCACCAATCTAAGCTTGCACAGCTACAAATGTTATTAATGGTCATAAAATTATCCAGACACAGTACTTGACTCCTTGAACTCCAGCAGTAGTGTATTCCATAGGATTCATATATAATGTTGCTAATGGCAAGATGAGTTTATTCTTCTCATTCTCTCTCTGTCCTTGTTCCTTCTTTTTTTAAAAAAATGAAGCTGTGATAGATTTTTATTCACTGGTGATTCTAGTACAGATGTCACAGTGCCTGTCTACCCCCTTGATCTCTCTTACAGTCACAAAGCGAGTATGAAAGTTAACATCCTTGAACATGCAAATAGTTGCTATTTCCCCTTCCCTATCTCCTGATACTGCTGCATCTTAATTGCCCGAACCAGTGGCCAGACTGTCAAAGGGCAGGTGTGTGTGTGTGTGTGGGGGGGGGGGGGGGGGGGGGGGGGGGGGGGGGGGGTCTGAAAGAAGCAGTTGAAAGAAGGGAGCTTTCTGCTCTGTAGAGTTAATATTAGTGGTACCAGATTTTTGTTAACAGCAATTAGGGACATTGGAAATTCATGACATGTAGGGCTGATCATCAGAATATGAAACCAAATTAGGAAGGGTGGTTAATACTCCAGAGGGCAGGATCAGAATTTTAAATGACCTTAACAGATTAGAGTGCTGATCCAAAGTTTACAAATGAAATTCTGCAAGGGGAAATGTAAGGTACTACACCTAGGGAGCAATAATGAAGTGCACTGATATAGACTGCAGGATACCTAGCATGAAAATAGTACATGTGAAAGGAATCTAGGAATCTTAGTAGTCCAAACATGAATCACAATTGTGATGCAACAGCTAAAAAAGCCAATATAATTCTGGACTGCATCGATAGGGTCTAGATCAGTAGTCATGAGGAAGTGTAAGAAGGATTGCCAAAGACCATCAGAAAACACAGCATTTTCAGTTGGTCAGGGGGTTCTGTGTAGGACATTTGGCACAATTCTGTAATTGGTGGGGTTCAGAAGGCTCTTTGATTGTAGGTGAACTATAAATCCCAGCAACTAGAACTCCCAAATATCAAGTCTATTTTCTCCAAACTCCACCAGAGTTCACATTTGGGCATATAGATATTCTTGCCAAGTTTGGTCCAGATCCATCATTGTTTTGAGTCCACAGTCCTCTCTGGATGTAGGTGGACTATAATTCCAAAACTCAAGGTCAGTGTCCACCAAACCCTTCCAGTATTTCCTATTGGTCATGGGAGTTCTGTGTGCCAAGTTTGGTTCAATTCCATCTTTGGTGGAGCTCAAAATGCTCTTCGATTGTAAGTGAACTATAAATCCCAGCAACTACAACTCACAAATGACAAAATCCTTCCCCCCAATCCCACCAGCATTCAAATGTGGGCGTATTGGGTATTCATACCAAATTTGGTCCTGTCAATGAAAATACATCCTGCATATCAGGCATTTACATTATGATTCATAACAGTAGCAAAATTACAGTTGTGAAGTAGCAATGAAAATAACTTTATGATTGGGGGTCACCACAACATGGGGAATTGTATTAAGGGTCACAGCATTAGGAAGGTTGAGAAGCACTAGTCTAGACTGAGGGTAGTTATGGTCCCACTTTGGTCAGATCTCCCTTAGAAGACTGTGTCCAGTTTTGGGTATCACCATTCAGGAAGGATATTGACTAGCTGGGACTTGTCCAGGGGAGGGTGACCAAAATGGTAGCCATGCTAGATGAGGAGTGGCTCAGAGAGCTGGGTATGTTTAGCTTGAGAAGAGGAGGTTCAGAGGTGACATGGCAGTCCTATTGTCATAATGAAGATGGCACAAAGTTGTTTTCTGCTGCTCCAGAGACACAGAACAATAGATTAATACTTCAGAAAAATAGATTCCACCTGAAAATTAGGATGAACTTCCTCGTGGTAAGAGCTGTTCAACAGAGAAATATGCTGCCTCGCAGTATGGTGGAGTCTCCTCCTTTAAAAGTTTTGAATGCTAACCTGTTCAGAGTACTTTGGTTGTGTATTCCTGCATGATGGGATTGGACTAGATGGCCCTTGTGGTCTCATCATACTCTTATGATTCTATCTATATAAATAAAAATATAATGTTAGTTTGTGGGATTAACATAACTCAAAAACTACTGGATGAATTGATACCAAATTTGGACACAATATACCTATCAGGCCAACGAGTGACCATCACTCATAAAAACACTGAAAAACACAACAGAAGAGACTTTAAAAGCCAAAAAACAGAAAATATATTATAACACAATACATTTGCAAAACCACACACACACACAAAACACATATACACACACTGCACACAGCAACATGTGGCAGGGGGTGGCTAGTACCAAATAAAAGCACTGATTTCTATTAATGTAGCCATGTTTCTCTGTAGATTTAGCATCTCATCTATATTCATAAATTACATGATACGTGCATTGTGCCTACATTCCAGCAAAGAGGATTTTTGGCAAAAAGGAAGAGCTTTCCAATCCACAGACAGGGTCACCCCATTATAATAAGGGACCAGCTTTCTGGCCCTGAACTAAGGGAATCCCTTGTAATAAGAGACACCTGGTAACCCTAATCAGCATTGATGATCAAGCAGCAGAGGAAACTAGGAATTGTGCCAGAGCTCAGGAGCCAAGTCAGGAGTGACAGCCAAAGAAAAGCACAACCAAAATATCCCAAAGGCAGGAAAACAGCTGGAGCCTCAGGCAAAGTCTCAGTCCAAACATGAGGCCTTTTGTAGCCTTTTCTGTCAAGGAGGTCCAGAACCCGAGAATACTTCACTGCTTGGGGATCAGCTCTGAAATCATAGTTCTGTAGTTCACCATGCAGCAAAGCAGGTTCCTGACATGAAGTTATAACTTTGCATCTGCTTATCTGTAGACAGCTGTTGCTTCTAGTGAAGCATCTTCCCACCTGAATCAAAATTTCCACTCTTGTGCTTTATGAAAGGAATTGTTGTCTGCAATAAGATAGTCCATACATATACCTCAGACAAGGTTTTCACCTTCCATAATCCTCACCCATCTTTTCAATTAACCAGATACGATATTTAATACATTCAATGAAAACAATAAAATGGTGTTATGAGGTCCCCCATCATATAATGTTTTGATTATTTCTCGCATTGAATGTTTGTCTGACTGAATGTAGTTATTTAACTGATGTGATCAATGTGGAAAAAGTGAGTATGATGCACTAGTTGGCAGCTGGTGCCAGAACTGGGAACCTGATGATTGATATTTGCTTAGTAGTCCCATCCAGTTGTCCACTTTGCAATCCTTGTATCCAAAGCTTTACCTGTGTGTGTGCCTTGAAATCAACTGTTTCTTTTTTGTTACTTCATGAATTTTGTAGGACTGACCCCTTTTAGCTTTCTAGATCTGACAGAATTTGATGCCTTTTGGGCATTTAAGCCCTGTTGAGTATGTAACATGCACTCTTTAAAATAACATGTGTGCAGGCATGTGTGCTTCTGCAATGAATATATCAGATTGGACTCAGGGTATGCCTTCTAAGGATGGAAGGACCCTTGCTGTCTGTGGAATACCTCTGATTCAGCAGAGAGTTCTTAATGGCAGAATGGGGAAGGAGTCACTTCAATCTGATGTTCACTTGCCAAAGGTTTTCCTTTTTGAGCTCAGTGAGACTTTTGTGTAGACATATAATGGTTTGGCTTTCATAATCTAAACTCGTATTTCCTTCTCTTCTCTCAACTGTAGACTGCAACCCATTTGCCCAATTGATGGTCGATTTGGACTCCGTGGCCAAGATGAAATTCCTCTCCGAGCTCTACAATATAAGCGTGGGTTGTTACATGAGTTCCGGAAGGGCAATGCCAGCAAGGAGCAAATCCGACTTCACAGTTTGGTCCAGCAGATTCCCAAGGCCATAATAATTGGAGTGAGGAAAGGAGGAACCCGAGCTCTACTCGAAATGCTCAATCTTCACCCGGCAGTGGTCAAAGCTTCTCAAGAGATCCACTACTTTGATAATGATGAGAACTATGCCAAGGGCATTGAGTGGTACAGGAAAAAAATGCCATTTTCTTATCCTCATCAAATAACAATTGAGAAAAGTCCTGCATACTTTATCACCGAGGAGGTACCTGAAAGGATTTATAAAATGAACTCATCCATCAAATTACTGATCATTGTCAGGGAACCCACAACAAGAGCTATTTCTGACTACACTCAGGTGCTGGAGGGGAAAGAAAGAAAAAATAAAACCTACTACAAATTTGAAAAGCTGTCGATTGATCCTAATACCTGTGAAGTGAACACTAAATACAAGGCAGTAAGAACCAGCATCTACACCAAACATCTGGAGAGGTGGTTAAAGTACTTTCCCATAGAGCAGTTTCACATTGTCGATGGCGATCGTCTCATTACGGAACCACTGCCAGAACTCCAGCTGGTAGAGAAGTTCTTAAATCTTCCTCCGAGGATAAGTCAATATAATTTATATTTCAATGCCACCAGAGGGTTTTACTGCTTGCGATTTAACATTGTCTTTAACAAGTGCCTGGCAGGAAGCAAGGGACGTATCCATCCAGAGGTCGACTCCTCTGTCATTACCAAATTGCGCAAGTTTTTTCACCCTTTTAATCAGAAATTTTACCAGATCACAGGGAGGACATTTAACTGGCCCTAAAAGAAATTTCATACAACACTGTGTGTTGCACCCAGAGATATGCAACCGTGTCTCTATTAGAGTAAAAAAAAATATGCACTTTTTGTATACACAGCTATCAAAGTAATCCTTTTTTTTTCATGCATACGTGTACATATGCAGTGTGTGACCAAATATAAGGTGGGATCAATTTTTCTACAGAGCAGTGAATAACATAAAGCTTACTCTCTGTATAATTGCATCATTTTATGCTATACAGTTAAATGAGAAGTCATTTAAATAAATTAATTCAGCAATTCCGTTCAAAGGGTCAGTACTCTATACACTCAAACAAACAAATCTAGTGGAGGGCTGGATTACTTTACAAGTTATTACATAATCAGGTCTTGGAAGGTCTACAATAGGCTGTTATAGGCCCCTTCCACACAGCCATATAACCCAGAATATCAAGGCAGAAAATCCCACATTATCTGCTTTGAACTGGAATTTATGGTAGTGTGGAAGGGCCCTCAGATACATATTGCTAAAGGAATACTGACCTTTGAAAGGTGTAAATCTGTGTCAGACTTATATTGGTTTAACCATTGCTTTCCATAGGAATCCTGGGATGAGTTCTGTGACTGGATGGGTGGGGAGTGCCAGGGTTCTCAGATTCTCACCTGCATTTCCAGGTTTTTTTGGGGAAACCATGTTCATTGGCTAGTAAAACAAAAACAATATAAGTTTGCAGTGTAAAGCTATACCCTGTGTGATGCTGATTTCTCTTGGAAGTTTTTCCTATTGTTTGAAAGGAAATTCTCTCATGCGACCAACATTGTTTCAAATTACCTGTGGTGAGTTTGCACTATTGTTTTTTAATTATTCTTATTGTTATTATTATTGTATGGATCATCTTGGCACTTGTAGCATGTCAATCATATGTCAAAAAATAAGTATCTTTTCCCCCCTTCTATGCTTGTATGTTGACAAAGAGAAACCTACTGTATATAATGTATATTGTTTGTAAATACTGGTTTCACACTAAGTAATTCTATTTTGTAAACTGAATATGGCTATTTAATTTATTGTGAAAATTAAATTTATTGTGGTATTTAAAATGGAATGGATTAAAATTGCTATATGTGCAAGTGGGGTTTTTCCTTGATTGTATTTATTGCTTGTTTGATTATATTTTATGATGTCTCCTTACTTCAGTAAGTTCACTCCCATTTCCATGCAATGTTATTTTTCAAGAACTCCAGCATTTACCTGGCTCACTTTTCTGAAAAGAATGTGATATGCATGGCAATTCCCTGATATATGGTTTGTTTACACAGATATACAGGCGAAACATAAAATGAAAGTCCACAGCATTAGATGTGATATCTTAAGCAATACATAGTGCCATAACATTTCCTGCAGAGACCAATGTTAGTTCTCTGCCTTTCAGATCCTATAATTAATTAAATAGTATCTCCTAACCCAACAATCTCAACCTCTTTTACTGGGAAACAGATGCTGTAAGCAACAGGAATCCATCTCCTATCAATCAGGAAGCAGCTGACAGACATTCTCATTTCCTTTCATTTCCCCAGTACAACTATCACAAATCCTCCTTGCACAGGAGATTGCTCCTTTTTTATCATGTCAGAAATGAATTGAGAATATACTGCAAGTCGTTTCTGGTGTGAGAAAATCAGCTGTCTACAAAGCCGTTGCCCAGGGTACTTTCAGATGTGTTACTATCCTGTGGGAGGTTTCTCTCATGTCACCGCATGGGAAGATGAGGCTGACAGACAGGAGCTCACCCCATCTCGCAGATTTGATCCGCTAACTTTCAAGTCTTCAAGTCAGCAGTTCAGGGTTTAACCCATCGCACCACCACGGCACAATCTCCTTACACAGGAGATTGCTCATGCAGCATGGGGAAGTCAGCCAGTTGCTTCCTAATCAACAGGAGAACAGGCCCCCATTTCCTTGGAGCAGCTGATGTCTAGTAAAAGGAGACTAGGGGACTTTCATTGTCCCTATGTATTAAACTAGTGGATAAGTAGGGATCGTGAATACAAACTCTAGGTCATACAATCGTAACTGTCTTAGTGAATTCCAGCCATTAAATACAACAAATTGAAATGGCTTTAAAAGTTATAGCACTTAAACACTGAAAGGGAAAAGCCTTGGCTTTGCTTTGAACTTTAGAGAACACTGATACCAACTGAGTCTCCAGTGAGACGGTACTCCACTACTGGCTAACAAGAGATCACCAGACCATCTACCATGTCCTTCCATGTTGTATTTCTTCCATTGGTGGGGCACAGGCAAAGACCTCAAACACAGGAGACGTCAGTCCTTCATTTAGGTATATATGAGGATCATGTACTGAGCTCCTGACTTTTAAATGGCATCACTAACACTTTGAATTCACAAGTGCAGCTCTTTTTCAACCAGTGTGTCTAGTATGGTGATCAGCACTCTTGCTGCTGCAAGATTACCACCATGCAAAAATTTCTTACCAGGTTTCAAAAAATCTTGCATTCAGGCATCTACACTAGTAGCTCTTCTTACAGAAAAACCTAGAGAGGACATAGTTTTGAGGATGTGAATAAATGAAACTGCAGGTACTTTTTTGTTCTATCTTTGAATAAACTACACTGGAACCTCTACTTAAGAGCATCCCAACTTAAGACTGTTTGAGTCAAGAGCTGTTTGAGTCATTTTGACATAAGAACAGTGTTTTGAGTTAAGAACTAGCACCAAAGAGAGTGCTAGCGCAGCAGTACATGGCTTTAGGGCTTTAAGGGAGCAGCCTCCGTGCCTCATGCTCTTGTCCACTTTGGGAGATTGCTGTCTGTTTTGCTCTTGTCCACTTTGATGAACTTTGGGTTAGCCGATTTTGTGTGGTATTTATTCCTGGTATGTTTGGCTTTGTGAAGAGAGTGGGAGGCTAGAATGAGTTCAATATGAAGAAAATGATGCTTCTGTCTCTTCACTGTGTGCTTTATGCTTCCTTGCCACCACTTTGTGCTTCTACCATTTAAAGATGGATCTTTTTTAATTGTTCCTTGTGAATGTGCATTTATACATGATTTGTTCTTTTTCTTATTTAAAAGCACATAACAACAAAATTGGGGGCAGGGGGCGGAACAAATTAATAGCATTTCAATGGGAACATTTGCTTTGAGATTAGAGTACTTTGAATTAATAGCTCTGTCATGGAACAAATTAAACTCTTAAGTCAAGGTTTCACTGTACTTCTAAAACTTGAGAAAGTTCAAAAAGCAAATTAAAATGCACCACAGGAAAGTAAAACTATTGTTTGGAGCATATTTAATTGTCTGGAGTTATTTCAGGTCATGGTTATTTTGTTTAGGAATAGAATGTTCAGTTCAATTTAAGTGGTTTGTAAAGCATTTGGATTTAATGTAATGTGTATGTGTGTGGAAGAAAGATGGGCCTGAAGAAGTCTAAGCAATGTGGCAAAAATATTAGTTTTTTAAAAAATGATATATTGGTCTGATGGAGTATCCAATAACATTTTCAAGTTAAAACATGAATGAATCAATATACCATTGCCCACAAGGCCAAAAAATAACTGATAAGATTATGAACAGTGATAGAAAGGAACAGATGTGTCGTTTACAACTAACCTAGTGCACCTACAAAAGGCGTGATGAAATATGCACCTTTACTTCAAAGGACATCTCACTGAATTCTGTAGGACTTTCCATAGATGTGGACCATAATTATGTTTATGTTGAGTTCATCAGGGGCTATGGCAACACAACTTTATGGACATTGTGCCTTTCCCCCATTGTACAATGTTTGCTGGATGGTGCAATTGTATAGTTAGACTTATGCCAGGACAGCTACTTCAAACCAATATTCAGCAGGCATCTGTCAGCCCCCCCCCCCCCCCCCGGAATTCCTGCCTAAGTAGCTCATGGGATTTCACACACCAAAACAGCCAAATAGGATTTGGGGCATAGGTATGTTTGCATAGGAAGACTAGAAGAAGATTTACAGTACAACATTTCAGTCCTTGAGACATTTTTTAAAAATAGTTTCTATCCTATGTATTCTTAATAATGATGCTTTACAATTACATGCATTGCAATGAACTTATCTCCTAATGTAGTGGCTGCGGGCTCGGATGTCAGCAGGGTGATGAATCTGTTTCAGGTTTTAGATTGAACTTGGAAGAAGCTGTCAAGATGCTGAACCTATCTTGAGAATATGGATCTTCATCTTGGGAAGCTCCTTTACATTTTGGTCTAAAAGCTAAGCCAGATGCCCTGCTTCCATTCCTGACAGGCCAGGTAAAAAGGTAAAGGTTGTCCCCTGACATTAAGTCCAGTCATGTCTGACTCTGGGGTGTGGTGCTCATCTCCATTTCTAAGCCGAAGAGCCAGCGTTGTCCATAGACAATTCCAAGGTCATGTGGCCGGCATGACTGCTTGGAGTGCCGTTACCTTCCCGCTGGAGCGGTACCTATTGATCTACTCACATTTACATGTTTTCTAACTGCTAGGTTGGCAGAAGCTAGGGCTGACAACGGAAGCTCACGCCACTCCCCGGAATCGAACCTGCAACCGGAATCGAACCTGCAACAAGCTTAACAGCTCAGCGCTTTAACCCACTGCACCACCAGGGGCCCACAAAGCCACTAAATAAAAGAACTTTTTTTCAGATTTTGTTATTTTTATCTAGAGGCCTCAGCAGGGGACCATGAATCTATTCTGAGTATTCAGCTAATCTTAAAAGGTGCAGAATCATATTCTCAAAGGAAAAACCATGAAGTCAATGGAATTTGCCTTCACCAGTTGAACAAATGGGCTTACAGTATTTATTGCGGTTGCTTATACCCCGCCCTTCTCACCCGGGGGGACTCAGGGCGGCTTACACACACAAGGCACAATTCGATGCCTGTATTACAAAAACATAATATCAAAAACATAACATCAGTAACAACAGTAATTATAACACTGATAACAATTAACGTAAACAATCAATATTATCGGCAGGAATAGCCATAAACCCGTAAAAACAATTAAAACAATAAAAACAATACAGTAATTGGCAAGTGTACTACTCAAATATAGGAAAATGTTTCACATTAAAATTTATTTATTTACAGTATTAATATTCCGCCCTCCTCCCCATGCAGGGGATTCAGGGTGGATTACAATGCACATATACATAGCAAACATTCAATACCATTACAACATATATAGACAGATGCAGAGGCAATTTAACATTCCAGCTTTCTGGCTTCATGAGGGTATACTCGATTCCAGCCACAGGGGAAGCTGCTGCTTCACCATCCACTTGTGACACCAAGTCCTTGATGCAATACTTCATTCTTACGCACACTGCTGGATGGCTTTATGGTGTCGTAAATTAGTTAAATTAGCCTCCCCACATAAAGTGGTACCTAAATTTTCTCCTTGACAGATGCAACTGTCTTTCTGGCTGCATAGGTCAAGAGCAAGCTAGACTTTTAATTTTCGGGAGCTCACTCCGACCCGGGCTGGCTTCGAACTCATGCCCTCTTGGTCAGTAGTGATTTAATGCAGCTGGCTACTAATTAGCTGTGCCACAGCCTGGTCTTTAAAAACAATAAACTACAGGTCTTTTGGGAAACATCTTAATTGTTCTGTGGAACGTCCTCATGCTATCAACTGTTCTAGCATGTGAATATATTTTCCATCTTGTGTGACCCAATCGAAATATAAACACTTTCAGTGAGTCCCTGATAAACTCGCTGCAGTAAATGATGGTATCATTTAGTAACTGATAAATCATATCCATTTTTCATTGTATGTTTTAGGATCATAAACTGTAGATGCTTAAAGACCTGAACAGAAGCTTCTTGTTCTCTTCTGTGAGTTTTGTTCTTTTGGCTGCCCTCTTGTGGTCAAATGACAAGAATATGTCTTCAAGAATTTTCAAGGGAAAATATCTAAAACTTTCTTCAAACCATAAACACACATTCATGTGAGTGCTTTTTAAAGGGCTTTTTCATCTTAACTTCTCTCAACCAGCATCAGAAGATGCAATGTTCCAGATGTTCTATGGAACCAAGAGTCATAATCATAGTCCTCAAACTGCTTACGTTGGAATAATGCCATTGAAAATCAATTGGACTAAT